CATTATATATTTATTATATATTTAAGTATTTACTTACTGTTTATAGATTCCGTCGTCGGATTATTTCTTCTACGTAATGTCAACTAGATATACCGATTTTACAGGTTATAGATACAAATTTAAATTTTTTCGGTTAGCTGCCCTGCACTGCTTGCTCTACCTCCAGACCTAGGGCAGTCAGTTCACTGAACTCGCTGCACTAGTTCAGCCTGCACTGTTCGAAAGAACACATTTTCTTGCACTGTTCTGATCGAAAGAACGCATTAGTGCAAACTTCGTGAACTAGTGCAGCCAGTTCAGATCGAAAGAACAAACCTTATAAGTAACGTTCTAGCGTTCAACTTAGTACGTCACAGATGATCACACTACAATGAGTACGAAAATAGGATGATACGCAGTACGTCGCGTGCTGTTAGGGTAGTGTGCAACAAGCATTAGGTGTAAAAGTGTGAAAAGTACAAGCAACTCGACAAACCTACTGTGTGCACACTACTAGACGATAGCCGTTGGAGTGAGCGAAATACAAGAGAGAGATAAAAAGAGAGGGAGAGTACTAGATGACGTTTTCGAACGCAGCCATGATTGTGTGTGTATGTTAGATCTGCGTCACATAATAGTTTTCCCTTTATTTTATTGGAAAATATCCATGGATAATTGTCGAATCGATAACTACAAAATTATAATTTTTTTTAGTGGTTCAATAATGAACACACTAGAGCTGCAAGCAGATACAGATGTCACTGTTAGTCTCAATTCGAATTAAAGAGAAAAGTCGTTACTTCGCGTTGAAAAGCGCGATTTGTCATGTCCGATTGAGCCTGCCGGAATAATAAGTTTTTTTTTTTTACAAATAACCAAAAGATAGAATCCAAGTTAGAAAAACACTTAAACACTGAAGAAGAAAGCGGATGCTAGATGTATAATTTGTCAATATTGTTTGAGTTTGTATTGTGTATGACTTGTAACGTCAAACGTGTCGTCAAATTCACGTCGATATAACTGATTGAATTGAGTGGAACTCTCAAGGATTGTTTTATCCATCTATCTTCCACGATGGACGTCAAATCCAAGAATGGAATGTGGGGAATAATTGTGAAGGATCTCTTGAGTATCAGCAAGCGACATGAGGAAATATCAAAGCGCCTTGAGGAGAATGCTATGGATCAAAAAGAATATTTGAAAGCATTGTTCAATCAATTATTACAACCATCGTCTGTCCCGATTATCACAAAAACCCCAAAGATTTCAAGGAAAAGAGTATTAGAACATATTGAGACAATACCAGAAGATGAAGTATTAGAACAGAAAAATGTAGAAGATATTGTTCAAACTTTTTCCGAAAAAGAAAAAGATTCAGACAAAATAGTCCGTAGAACAAGAAGAATAGCATCTCTGAAAGCAGTGGATAATATCACAAAGCAAATACAAGATTTGCACAATACAAGACCAGCAAAATCCAATAATGAAAATGTTAGTTTCTCAGTAAAGAAAGTAAGTAGTAGTAGTAGTAGTATTTATTTTTCTATACTATATGATATCATTTGTGTATGATTATTTATATCTAATATATTTTATAAATCTTAGGGAAAGAGAGAAAGTAAGCTCAAGAGGAAAAAATCTGCGCAAAACAGTTCTGATGAAGATGAAAATAATATACCTTCTAAGTATAGCAAAGTAGAGGTAGATAAAGAAAACAAGGAAGAACCAGAAAAGAGAATAATAAGAAAAATGACTGAACAACCTCTTCAGTCTAATAAGGAGATAATTGAAAAGACCAAGGAGCAAAATTCATCTGAGAAATTGCCATGTTTCTCCAAATCGGAATCTGAAGAATGTCAGGAGAAAGAAGTAAAGAAAGAGAGTGATGCAATTATTTCCCCTACCACAGATGTCATTGAAGAATCTATATACGAGGATGCAATTGGAAAACCAACTCCAATTATGAATTCAACTCTAAAATATAGTTCTGTTATGACTGAGAAAATGCTGAATGCCACAGTAGTATTAGAGCCTTTACCACCACAGAGAGTATTAAATCAAACAGTTGTGATCCAAAAGGAGTTGAGTCAATTCAATAGTAGAGAAAACAGCAAAGGAAGTTTGAAGAAAGCACAGCAAGACAGTACACGATTGATTAAAGAATCTGTGGGACAAAACATATATAATGGGTTAATTACAGATGACGAGTCTTCACCTGAATTAAAGAAATCGAAGAAACAAATTACCAAGAAGCAGAAGAAACGCATACTATCGGTCTCCGAGGATGACGAAGTTCCTAACACTCCTGTGAAGAATGTAAAAGAGAATTTCAAAGATTCAATTACACCCTTGGTTAAGCTCTCGCAAATCAAAACTATGTACAAATCGAATGCATTGTTCAGTCCTTACGCGAAAGAGTCTGTGAAGAAAAGGGTCGAGGCTTTCGAGCAACAAGTGGTGATGCAGAGCCCAAAGTCTGTTGACGTGAATGAGCCTACCAGAATAACCAGAACAAAAACTCGCGCGATGGCTGCTGCGGAAGCCGAAACAGAAACGAAAAATACGGATAAAAGTTATACACAAATATTAGCTCGTAAGTCGCTCGCGAAAGCTAAGAAGATAGCTTGCTTTGCGGAGAAGCAGAAGAAAGACAATAAAGAATCTAAAGAGGTAAAAGCATCTGTGTATGAAAAATTGCATTTCATAATTATTGTAAGAGTTTGATATTTTCTATTGATTATGTTTCTTCCTTTGTTACGTCCTGTTGATGCTCTCTAATGATGAATCAATCTTTCTTTTCAGAACAAGGAGCAAATGCCAGAGCGAATCAATAAACTGACTAAAAATGACAGGCTGAATGCAATGCCACAATTAAAAACAACACCTCTGAGCAAACCGAAACTCGTAACTCCAATGTCTGCAACTCGTCTTCAAACTCCGTCAAGTACACAAAATCTTGTGAATGTGAGAATCATTTTTTATTTCATTCTTTTGAGTGTTAATCTGAAAATGACTACTTAACGTATACTTTGATTTTAGCATGGAAAAACTTTAACCGCCTCGCGCGCGAATATCGTGACTACCATGGAGTCATTTGTTCAAGTTCCAAAGACCGCCAGTAAAAACAACTCTGCTGACAAATTAGAAGATAAAAGACGACATGAGGAAGACGCGATGAAGAAGAGAAAGGAAGCCTTGAGATTACTGACGGAGGAAAAGAGAAAGTACGGGCATATAGTAATTACTAAAAAAATAGAGTTGATACTGAAATTATAATATAGCTTCCACACATTTTTTTTTAATTATTCACAAATGATTATTGTACAAATTTTATATATGCATTTTACATATAGAAAGCGAGAAGAGAAGGAATTGAAGAACAAGTTAGCTAGAGAAATTAAGGAGAAGCAGGAATTAGAGAAACGGCAAAAGGCAGAGAAAGAAAGAGAAGAGAGGGCGAAGCTGGCTCAGCTGATGCAGGAAAAACAGCGCGAGGAAATGGAAAAGAAGCGCCTTGCACAGTTGCAGCGAACGCAGGAGAAGGAGGAACGTCGAAAATTAGAAGAGCATCAGAGATTACAGAAATTGTTAGAACAAGAGGAGGCGGAACGTTTGCTCGCCGAGCAAAAGCGTCGAGAACAGGAGGCCGAGAGACGTAAAGAAATGGAAGTGAGAGTCCAGCAACAGGCTGAAGCGATAAGATTGAAGAATATGGCGCAAACGGCTCAAGTTAAAGTAAGTCTACATATAATGTCGTTTACAATACACATGTAGAATCATAATGTCTACAGAGAAATTTTTATATAAACTATTGCTAATTTAAGTAAATTAGTTCTTACCGATATATATTTATGTTATCAATCTTCAATCTTTTTTTTACAGCACAAACAAGCTGGTAATAAGCAACAAGGGACTACGAATTATGTGTTAGACAGCGAACCTGACGATGACGATTCGGACGATGAGAGTAGACCGAAACACGAAATACCACATTGGGCACAGGGTAGGTATCTTTTTTCAAAGAATTTTCTTAGCTCTTGGTAAAATAGGAACATATTTCATGAAAATTGACATATAATTTTTAATAAAAATCTTTATTTCCAAATGCTTCTCAAAAGAAAGTATATATATACAATATAATATTGTAATATAATTGTACATTTGAAAAATCGTTAAAACACTCGAAATTTTTCAGCACATGTACGCAAGGTGCAACTGGCAATGCAACGGCACATTCCCAATGAAATAGTGTACAAATTCTTCGACACTCGTAAGTGCACGCCGGATTTGACCGAGCTATTTCAAGGTATAGATCGAAATCGATTGAAGCGTACCTCCAGTGCAATCTGGAAAACGCCGCCGCGTTTTTCCATGATGGAAGGCGAATAGGATTCTCGAATCGAACCGCGGATATTGCGGGATATTAATATCGCAGGAGATAATTGAAAAGATCAAGGAGCAAGATACATCTCAGATAATGCTACGTTTCTCCAAATCAGGATCTAAAGAATGTCAGAAGAAAAAAGTAAAGAAAGACAGTGATGCAATTATTTCCCCTACCACAGATGTTGAAAAATCTATGTACGAGGATGCAATTGGAAAACCAACTCCAGTTATAAATTCAATTCTAAAATATAGTTATGTTATGACTGAGAAAATGCTATAATAGTATATTAAAGGAATCTTTACATATCAACGATCTCTCTCATTGACGTTAAATATTATCTTATTTCATGCATACGTTGCGGACGTGATGTTGTGTCATAACGATTTTACTGTATCAGACGAGCGAATATTGTATACATATGAAAATGTGAGGGCGCATTGTTCATTGCTACAAATGTTCACACAACAATATGTGTAACGTACGTTTTGTTCGACAATGTTTAGTGTTCGCTACTCCTTTATATATAAATATTGTATCTCTGCTAAGAGGAGATTAAAGACTTTTGTAGTACGCAATTGGTTAATCGGTATTAGAGAGTCATTATGTCGAGGTTTTAATCCAACTACTGCACGACTACTACTATAAATCAAATAAATACTCAATTATTTCACATTATTTGTCAGATACATATATTATTGATTTATCATTTTGTCGACTTCTTATTGAAGACTCAACGTTGCGACGAAATAACTTTCGTAGGCATGCCTCTGCTTTTTTTCGATGCGGTTGAACGCATTCACGATGGCTTCATTCTTTTTAAATACACTTTCTTACTTAAATCGAAATTACCGTAATGTATTAGAACGTCTTGTACGACATCCTTCCAGTGATTCAGAATAAAAATCAATATGTAAAATCCATTTTCTGTCCGAGCAAGAATGTTCTTTGCGCCTCCATAGATGTTAAAGAATAACTCGATAAATGCGTATAAACCGGTATCTGCAAATACATAAAATTACTAAGCTTAAGTTGACGTGATATATCATGTGCACTCTCACGTCTTTCTTACATAAGGTAAAATATTATCCAAATTGAGATATTCTCTGTACGTTTTATCACAAGCTTGCGATTCGTAGTAAACCTCCAGAATTAAAGGATCCAACGCCTTGCCGTACAGCAATTGTCGCTCCTCTTCTAGAATTTCTCTCAAAACCTCGATGTCTTCTGTCTCGGTTTCGACTTGTATCTGTCTCATGCCGCCGTAAGGTACCTTCGTAAGACCGTAAGAGTACATGTTTGTATCATGAACAAAGTTTATGTTTGGATGTCTACAATCGATGTAAGCAGTCACGAATGTCTCGCGGTCTTACATGTAGGACATGTAAATATAAACTCTCTGTAAAGGATCACGCTCTGTCAACAGCGATTAGTTGTTATTTGCCTCTTACCGTTTTCATATTAAATCGCTAGAGTTTTGATTACTCTGATTTAAATTGTAATCGTCAAACGTGTCGTCAAATTCACGTCGATATTACTGATTGAATTGAGTGGAAGTCTCAAGGATCGTTTTATCCGTGTGTCTTCCTCGATGGACGTCAAATCCAAGGATGGAATGTGAAGAATAAGTGAAGGATCTCTTGAATAGCGGCATGAGGAAATATCAAAGTGCCTTGAGGAGAATGCTATGGATCAAAAAGAATATTTGAAAACATTGTTCAATCAATTATTACGACCATCGTCTGTCCCGATTGTCACAAAAACCCCAAAGATTTCAAGGAAAAGAATATTAGAACATATTGAGACTATACCAGAAAATGAAGTATTAAAACAGAAAAATGTAGAAGATGTTCAAACTTTTCCCGAAAAAGAAAAAGATTCAGACAAAGTAGTCCGTAGAACAAGAAGAATAGCATCTCTGAAAGCAGTGGATAATATCACAAAGCAAATACAAGATTTGCACAATACAAGACCAACAAAATCCAATAATGAAAATGTTAGTTTCTCAGAAAAGAAAGTAAGTAGTAGTATTTATTTTTCTATACTGTATGATATCATTTGTGTATGATTATTTATATCTAATATATTTTATAAATCTTAGGGAAAGAGGAAGAGTAAGCTCAAGAGGAACAAATCTGCGCAAAACAGTTCTGATAAAAATGAAAATGAGGTACCTTCTAGGTATAGTCTAGGTAAAGTGGAGGTAGATAAGGAAAACAAGAAAGAACCAGAAAAGAGAATAAAAAGAAAAATGACTGAACAACCTGTTCAGACTAATAAGGGGATAATTGAAAAGATCAAGGAGCAAAATTCATTTCAGAAATTGCCACGTTTCTCCAAATCAGAATCTGAAGAATGTCAGAAGAAAGAGTCTGTGAAGAAAAGGGTCGAGGCGTTCGAGCAACAAGTAGTGATGCAGAGCCCAAAGTCTGTCGACGTGAATGAGCCTACCAGAATAATCAGAACAAAAACTTGCACGATGGCTGCCGCGGAGGTCGAAGCAGAAACGAAAAATACGGATAAATATTATACACAGATATTAGCTTGTAAGTCGCTCGCGAAAGCTAAGAAGATAGCTTGTTTTGCGGAGAAGCAGAAGAAAGACAATGAAGAATCCAAAGAGGTAAAAGCATCTGTGTATGAAAAATTATATTTCATAATTATTGTAAGAGTTTGATATTTTCTATTGATTATGTTTCTTCTTTTGTTTCGTCCTGTTGATGCTCTCTAATGATGAATCAATCTTTCTTTTCAGAACAAGGAGCAAATTCCAGAGCGAATCAATAAACTGACTAAAAATGACAGGCTGAATGCAATGCCACAATTAAAAACAACACCTCTGAACAAACCGAAACTTGTAACTCCAATGTCTGTAACTCATCTTCAAACTCCGTCTTCAACACACAAAATCTTGTGAATGTGAGAATCATTTTTTATTTCATTCTTTTGAGTGTTAATCTGAAAATGACTACTTAACGTATACTTTGATTTTAGCATGGAAAAACTTTAACCGCCTCGCGCGCGAATATCGTGACTACCATGGAGTCATTTGTTCAAGTTCCAAAGACCGCCAGTAAAAACAACTCTGCTGACAAATTAGAAGATAAAAGACGACATGAGGAAGACGCGATGAAGAAGAGAAAGGAAGCCTTGTGATTACTGACGGAGGAAAAGAGAAAGTACGGGCATATAGTAATTACTAAAAAAAATAGAGTTCATACTGAAATTATAATATAGCTTCCACACATTTTTTTTTAATTATTCGCAAATGATTATTGTACAAATTTTATATATACATTTTATATATCAGAAAGCGAGAAGAGGAAGAATTGAAGAACAAATTAGCCAGAGAAGCTAAGGAGAAGCAGGAATTAGAGAAACGGCAAAAAGCACAGAAAGAAAGAGAAGAGAAGGCGAAACGGGCTCAGCTAATGCAGGAGAAGGAATGTGAGGAAATGGAGAAGAAGTCCCTGGCAGAGTTGCAGCGAACGCTGGAGAAGGAGGTACGTCGAAAATTAGAAGAGCATCAGAGATTACAGAAACTGTTAGAGCAAGAGGAGGCGGAACATTTGCTCGCCGAACAAAAGCGTCGAGAACAGGAGGCCGAGAGACGTAAAGAAATGAAAGCAACAGACTGAAGCGATAAGACTGAAGAATATGGCGCAAACGGCTCAAGTTAAAGTAAGTCTACATATAATGTTGTGTACAATAGAATATAATATAAGAATATAATATAGAATCATAACGTCTAAAGAGAAATTTTTACATAAACTATTGCTAATTTAGATAAATTGGTTCTTACCAATATATATTTGTGTTATCAATCTTCAATCTTTTTTTTTACAGCACAAACAAGCTGGTAATAAGCAACAAAGGACTACGAATTATGTGTTAGACAGCGAACCTGACAAATCGGACGATGAGAGTAGACCGAAACATGAAATACCTCACTTGGCACAGGGTATGTATCTCTTTTCAAAGAATCTTCTTGGTAAAATAGGTAAAATAGGTACATATTTTACGAAAATTGACATATAATTTTAAATCTTTATTTTCAAATGTTTCTCAAAAGAAAGTATACATATAGTAGAATATTGTAATATAATTGTACATTTGAGAAATCGTTAAATCACTTGAAATTTTTCAGCACATGAACGTAAGTTGCAACTGGCAACGCACATTCTCAATGAAATAATGTATAAATTCTTCGACATTCGCATGCCGGATTTGACCTAGCTATTTCAAGATATAAATCGAAGTCTATTGAAGCGTACCTTCAGTACAATCTAGAAAACGCCGCCGTTAACTTGAGCCGTTTGCGTCATATTCTTTAGTCTTATCGCTTCAGTCTGTTGCTGGGCTCTCACTTCCATTTTTTATGTCTCGCGGCCTCCTATTCTCGACGCTTTTGCTCGGCGAGCAAACGTTCCGCCTCCTCTTGCTCTAACAGTAATCTCTGATACTCTTCTAATTTTCAACGTTCCTCCTTCTCCTGCGCTGCAACTGTGCCAGACGCTTCTTCTCCATTTCCTCGCGCTGCTTCTCCTGCATCAGTTGAGCCAGCTTCGCCTTCTCTTCTCTTTCTTTCTTTGCCTTTTGCCGTTTCTCTAATTCCTGCTTCTCCTTAGTTTCTCTGGCTAACTTTTTCTTCAATTCCTCCTCTTCTCGCTTTCTAATATATAAAATGCATATATAAATATATGCATATATGCGTTTTTCCATGATGGAAGGCGAATAGGATTCTCGAATCGAACCGCGGTTATTGCGAATTTAATATCGCAGGAGATAATTGATCGTGATGTTGTGTCATAACGATTTTATTGTATCAACCAAGCACCCGGGGGTTGCCAAATATTTGGTGTCGACCCGGGGCTTATTTGTATTATTTGCACCGGGTGAGGAGGGGCAACGGTGGAGACGGGTATACATGGACAGCAGGTCTTAAAGGATAGCAACCTTTGACTTTGAGAGACTAACTGCTGTACCATTTGGTACAGTAACATTGTTTCTCTCTGTAGTCGCCGTGCGCTCGGGATCGCGCCAGAGATGTCGTTTCCGAACGGCATCTCTGAGCGTTATCCAGGGAGAAGAGAGTGTCGTAGGCGTGGAGCGTCAGGTAGCTCAGTGGTTTAGAGCAGTCGCCCGGCAAGCGAAAGACCCGGGTTCGAGTCCCGGCCTAAAACCGTACTCTCGATATTTTTCTCTCTCTGGAACGAAAAGGTACGCAGATCTCGAACGCATGGCGTTCCGCCACCACCTAGTACGCCCTCCTCCTTCTATGGTACCGAGTTACTTGTATCAGACGATCGAACATATTGTATACATATGAAAATGTGAGGGCGTATTGTTCATTGCTACAAATGTTCACACAACAATATGTGTAACGTGCGTTCGACGATGTTTACTGTTCGCTACTCCTTTATATATAAATATTGCCCCAGATAGCCAAACCTGCGCGAACAGATTTCGAGCAGAGCTTGCTATCAACTTCTGATGGCAAATAGATAACAAATTTGATGCAGAATCTGTTATATCAAATTTTGTTGCCAAATTGCCGCCAGATATGCGGCAGAGCTTGTTGTCGGATAATTGCTGCAGATTTGCAGCAAAAGCCGCGCAGAACTTGTAGCGATTTGACAGCAGATTGGCGGCAGAAACCTTGCTGCGCTGCAAGCTTTGCGCGGCTTTTGCTGCAAATTTGGCACCAATTGCCCGACAGCAAGATCTGTCGCCAAAACCGTAGCCTAATGTAGACACAGATAGCTATGGTTTTGCTGTGGGTTTTTGATCAAATTTGCTGTCAATCTGCGCGCAGTCTGTGCTCAATTTGCTTACTGAGTGTAACTCTGCTAAGAGGAGATTAAAGACTTTTGTAGTACGCAATTAGTTAATCGGTATTAGAGAGTCATTATATCGAGGTTTTAATGCAACTATTGCACGACTACTACTAATTCAAATAAATACTCAATTATTTCACATTATTTGTCAGATACATATATTATTGATTTATCATTTTGTCGACTTCTTATTGAAGATTCAACGTTGCGACGAAGTAATTTTCGTAGGCATGCCTCTGCCTTTTTTCGTTGCGGTTGAACGCATTCACGATGGTTTCATTGCTCTTTTTAAATACACTTTCTTACTTAAATCGAGATTACCGTAATGTATTAGAACGTCTTGTACGACATCCTTCCAGTGATTCAGAATAAAAATCAATACGTAAAATCCATTTTCTGTCCGAGCAAGAATGTTCTTTGCGCCTCCATAGATGTTAAAGGATAAGTCGATAAATGCGTATAAACCGGTATCTGCAAATACATAAAATTACTAAGCTTAAGTTGACGTGATATATCATGTGCACTCTCACGTCTTTCTTACATAAGGTAAAGTATTATCCAATTTGAGATATTCTCTGTACGTTTTACCACGAGCTTGCGATTCGTAGTAAACCTCCAGAATTAAAGGGTCCAACGCCTTGCCGTACAGCAATTGTCGCTCCTCTTCTAGAATTTCTCTCAAAACCTCGATGTCTTCTGTCTCGGTTTCGACTTGTATCTGTCTCATGCCGCCGCAAAGTACCTTCGTAAGACCATAAGAGTACATGTTTGTTTCATGAAAAAAGTTTGGATGTCTACAATCGATGTAAGCAGTCACGAATGTCTCGCGGTCTTACATGTAGGACATGTAAAGATAAACTCTCTGTAAAGGATCACGCTCTGTCAACAGCGATTGGTTGTTATTTACCTCTTACAGTTTTCATATTGAATCGTTAGAGTCTTGATTACTCTGATTTAAATTGTCAATCTTACTTTCATAGTGGTGCTACTGGCGTTCCCTTTAATGTCCGGCGGAAGTTTATAGTCTTCGAAGTACTTGTTGACGGGTACTGTAGGCAAGATCGTATTCCAGTCTCTGAACGTGCCGAGCGTCGATATGTAACGGCCGTCGTAGCTCCACAAACGCACCGTGCAATCCGCGCTGCCACTATTCGTTCATATTTTCGAATTGCGTAAAGATTCACGTTCATATGAACGTCTCTGTCTGTCCGCTACGTACCTGACTATTACTCGCGCGCTTGAAATCATCTGAAGGGAAGTGATTCCCCGCGTGTGAGCCCGTACGGACGACAGGAGAAGCGGAAGTGCCTGACCCCGGGTCGCTCTCTTCGCTCTCCCGTCTATTTTGTCCTTCCACAAAAACGGGAATTGCAGCCTCAGCAGCGGCATGCATACTTTTGGGGGATTCGGTCGCATATAATTGGAGAGCAGCCAGACCTTGATGTATCCGACGCTGTGGCCTGCTCGAAAAAGGAAGACTCAAAGACAGGATGAAGACATTTCGACAAATTTTGAAGATTACGTGTATGGTTATAAGTCACCAAAGTCATTGACAAAGAATTGGTCTGAAAAGTACAAAACCTGTAACGAGGAAATCATTTTCAGGATCGGTGGTCAACGACGTGGCGCAATCGCCCACTGTGTGAATGATCGAGAAAGCACCGAGGAAGTCCGCAGCCGGATGATGCGTCCACACCTGCACCAGTCCGGAATCGAGCGCGACCAGCAGTGTACCGACATCCGGTCCCACTTCTCGTGCGGCTAAGAAGATCATTGCGCGCACTGCGACCACGCGAATGATGTTCAATGCTGATTCTTGATGAGCGCATGGGATCAGTTCTCTGTTGCACAACGTCGATTCAGTTCATTGCTTCAAGAAATGTCTTTTCCGTAATTGCAAGCGGTATAATTTACTTAAATTTCCGATCTGCCACAGATCTGTCGAATTCGCTCGACTTTCCAAACTCGTTACGCGTATTCGTCTCCGTTGTTTTAATGTATCTGTAGAATCAATTGATCTCTGGCCATTAACGACATTACATTCAGGTTTGTCCGCGCCAATTATCTCTCGTGATAATACCGAACCGACATTACCTTTTACCAACATCAATCACATGGTACTTTCTAAGAGGTTGACCCGTTTCAAGCTTCCACAGAATCAATTCACCGTTATATGTTCCAGTGGCTAATACATGAGGAAATTTCACAGCCGAGCATAGAATGTCGTCGATGTGGCTAGTCGTCCATTTTTTGCGCACGTCGGACTCCGTAGCTGCCATTTCGATAACTTGCTTGTTCCAGCCGCAGCAGAGAATTCGATTTTTGTACCATGTAACGCTCGTTACTTCGCTGCACGAGGAAAACGAGCATTAATTAGTAAAGATTTAGTAAATTGTAATTGTATTGTACATACTAAAGAAACTTGCAAATGCAATTTAGAATTAGTAAATTGTAATTGTACATACTAAAGAAACTTGCAAATGTAAAAACTCTCTTTCCCCGGTAAACATCAACCATTAATAACATGATATCGATGTTATAATTTCCTACTCAACAATGTAAATGCAATATAACGCAAGTGTTATTCAACAGTTACGTTGTTAAGTAGGAAATTATAACATTGATGTAATATTATTGCTAGTTTATGTTCACTGTATTGGAGTTATTACATGATCAACGATCAGTTATTACATGATTACAACGAAATCTAAAGAATTTACAAATTTATTAGAAATAACGTATGATTAATATAAAGGATTGCACTCTTAATCAATCAAAGGATCCTTCAAAAACAATTGCTTGATTATTCTCTTTACCATTGATGATCCATCACGACGTGGCGTATACAAGTGCCGGTGTTGAAGTTCCATATCCTCAACGATCCGTCTCTAGCACCGGTTAGCAAGAACTGTTCTGTATCGTTGAAACACGCTGCCGTGATCTCAATATCGATAAATTGCCCGTGTCGTACAACGTTATGAGCGTTCGTTATCATTCGCAAGTATCGTCCTAACCAGGGATCCCAAACGATAATGCGCGAATCTAATCCAGTGGAGACAATCTATTTGCAGAGCAACATCAGATCCGTTAAAATATTACGCATCATTATAGATAAAGAAGTACTGAGTAGTCACCACACGGTAAAGTTGATTGTAGAGAACGCAGCTGACGCCTTTGCTGTGCGTATGACCGTCCGATGTCTCCTCGTTAATTACTGGCTCGCAGACAAGAATGGCGATCATTACACTGGCGATAATCATCGTACGAGTCAACGTATTGAAAACCAACGTCATCGGAGCATACTCACTCAGTTCACTTGGTAATTTATTGTATGTCTGTTGGGAGAAATATGTATATGGAATAAATTTTGACTCATTATTAAAAAAAGAAAAATGTTGTGTTGTCTAAGAAACTCGATGGTTTTCTTAAACCTGGATGCAGTTATGGCTCGGGACGTCCCACACTTTGATGCATCTGTCCTTCGATAGAGAGTAAAGCCGTTTGCCGGCGTTCACTATGACCAATGCGCAGATAGTAGAACGATGTCCCGAAAGAACGGCTTTCGCTTTCTTGGGGACGAATGGGTTCCAAACGCGAACTACGCAATCCGGTCCACCCGTGACCAACGTGTGACTCTCTGTAGAAAATCAGTTACATCCCAGACAGCACAATGTCCAAAATCGGATCATAAAAAGTCTTTAAGACATCTTTAAAACAAGTTTATATTGTCTTAAAGATATCTTAAAGACGTCCTAAAGACGTCTTATGACTCGAATTTGGACATTTGTGCTCTCTGAAATTTCACATGGTTTTTTCATTTGAGAACGCAGTTTGCAAAGAGTAGAGACCTTCGCAAAACACAAAGCAGGATATTCCCATGAGCACTTTGAAGTGATACCGCTTCCACATGCCCGTAAGGTCACAAACACACAGCGAACAATCGTCACATTGACTGCTCGAGATAAATGCCCGCAGACTTTCATGGTAAGCCACTTGGCTCGTCCAGTTCGTATGTATATTCTTAAATTCCATGATGTGCAACCCCGGCAACTCACCCTATTCACAACGCACGCTCTCTTAGCAAAGAAAGTTTTCGCAGATTATATCTAATACGTGTTCCTCTTACAACAGGATGATCTTGGTACCCTAATCACTTCGTCGTAACGAAGAACCGTCGTGTCTCGTTCTGTATGTTGCTTGAAGGGACCTCTGTCCACAGGACTGAAGGCCATGACCACAACGGAGCCGCTGGTATCACCCAGAACGATGTAGGAAACTTCGTTTACGTTCTTGCTAAAGTAGTAATGCATACAGACGACCGCGTTTTCCAAACTGGATATCTAGAAATTAGACAAGCGATGTTACATTTATTAAGTTAGTCGAGCATATAATAATGCCGTAATTCAAGTCTCTTCTAATATCGTAAAGTCTAGATTTGTTCACCGACCAATACGCGAAAATCAAACTTCTTCGCTGCGACGTCGTAGAATCTCAAGTCGCACTCTGTCGAGCTCGTGCATACCAGCTGAATGTCCGGCATCACAATCATATCGGTTATCGCGGTAGTTTGCACCTTTAAATACGCTGTGAAAAAAGTATCATGAATAAAAAGTATCAAGATACGGGAGAGAGGTGCGGTGCTGTGATACTAACGATTCTTGGATTGCACACTGCGCTCGTACTCGACATCTAACGACCAGTAATTGATCGTTCCTTCTCTGCTAACTGTCAGGTAACAACCTCTTTGGAAACTCGTGCTTCTGTCCTAAAGGATCATTAAGTCCGCGATGCCATAAAAGGATATAGGCTACACAGACAAATAGAATTTTTCGGAAGAATAATCGATGCAGAAGTCGGTCAGCTACCTTTCCCAACGAAAACCAGTTTTCTAACGTGTAAAAAAGAACTCTTTTTGGTAGAGAGAGATTAAAAATTTCCGTAAAAAAATGAAAAAATTTCTTCATATATAAAATGAAAGCTGACTGACTAGTGCATTGAGATCTTTGATATTTGGATATTCACCGACAGAACTTCCGGACAGAATGTGATTCTGCAAACAGCAGTACGATGATATGTTCGTAATAATTTCGGTAAAGCCGTCAATGACATCTCCACCATCTGTGATTTTCGACTGATGTTCTGGAGTTGAAATTCTATCAGCAAGTAGGAAATGAATTCGTCCCACGTCACTTTGCCATCGAGTTTCACATCAATCTGAAATTGATGCTTGAGTGAAACTCAAGAGATGACGAGTATGAACGATTAACCGACTTTCTTGAAGAGGATTTGGAATTCGTCCTGCGGCATTTCTATCTCGAGGATATCTTGGAAAGCGTCGTACAGTTGAGAGCAGCTCATTTCGCCATTCTCTGTTGCCTGAACGTGACATTTTTTTATAATTAAGCAAAATAAAAATTCTAAAAATAAGTCAAAGGAAGAAGTGCTATGTAACGTACCAAAAAAGCGTTATGTAATTGCGCCAAAGATTGTTCGGTGCATTGCTCCGCTACAGTTTTCTTCTCGAAAAACTTTTCAAAAGCTTCTTTTATGCTGCAGTAATATAATTATATATAATAATATAAATTTCGCGTTGCGATAACGATCAATTATTTCTTTACGCTAACCTTGGATGATTTTTACCGACGAATTCCATTGTATTTCCAGCTCTCTAACGATTTTCAAATAGAGTTGACATTTTAACGATCGAGGAAACTAGAATCACATTAGAAATATATTTATCAATTTTATCTATCCAAATTTTTATATAAAACAAGATGTCAAAATCACATCGAAATCGTATAATTTTACATGATTAAGAACAAATACCAATCATGCTATATTTCAGATAGATTTTCTCAACAATTTTCGCTCGCTGTAAACAAACAGGATATTTATAAAGACTGTTTTATATGTACAAATTATTATTTTCGGACATATTGTGCTATATTAAATGAAAAAATAACAGAGAGGAAAATAATCAATAACTTCCATGTATATACAACAGGTATAAGGTACGTGGTTGTCCCAAGCATAGACACACGCGCCATACCATCGCGACCGGATCAATGCGAGGGAACCGGTGTTTTACATTCCGAGGAAATTCACGTCTCGTTGAAAATGGAATTGTTTACAGCTCTGAGCTTATTCAGTCGACAAAAGTACGAGGAATGTGCCGCGGTATGCACGGATCTGTTGAGAAAGAATCCACTGGATCAGGTATGCATTCTGTTTTTCTTAAAGAAGATATTGATCATCAGCGATGATACAACAATATTGCTGTATTAGGCTGTGTGGGTTTTGAAGATGCGTGCTTTGACGTTGCAAATCTATGTGGATGACATCGAAGGCGAAGAGGAAGGAATCGCGGAGACTTTGCTAGATAACTACGCGATATCGTCGATGCCAAGGCCAGGAACTTCCCTGAAGAATCCTGGCACTAGTTATACCGGTCAAGGAGTGCGACCGAAATCTCAGTCTGGTTTGTCATTGAAGCTCACTTAAAAAAATATCAAATATCAAATATCGACTCTCCTTAAGGATTTTTCAAAAAAGCATTGTTAATGTCCTAAAAGGTAGACCTGTTACTGGGGTAGTGCGACCCGCTACTCAAGCAGCGATGTCCCAATCGATCGAGCAGGCGTTGAGAACACCGAGAACAGCGATGACTGCTAGACCAATCACAGCGAGCTCAGGACGCAGTGTCAGGTACAATATTCGCAATTATATTTAATATCTGTCAACGGAATATGAGATTTTCGTCTTCTCAGACTTGGTACCGCGTCAATGTTGACGGAGCCCGGTGGACCCTTTATCCAGTTATCGCGGTTGAATGTAACCAAGTACGCCAGCCAACAAAGCATAGCGAAACCGTTGTTCGAATACATATATTATCATGAGAACGATGCGAGATACGTAAGTATCGTGTGGATTATAAAATATTAATATTTTCAAGGCGCGATTACATCACGTTATGTTTTAAATTGTTTTCTAAAATTTTCACAGGCGTTGGACTTGGCCGTTCAGGCGACACAGATCTGTCAGTACAAAGACTGGTGGTGGAAAGTCCAGCTGGGAAAGTGTTACTACACCCTGGGACTGGTGAGAGACGCAGAACAGCAGTTCAAGTCCGCGTTGAAAGATCATAAAGCTGTCGAGACTGTTCTGAGACTGATCAGAGTCTATGTCAGACTGGACCAGCCGTTAGCCGCGCTGGACACGTGCAAGAAAGGTCTCGAGTACTTTACGAATGACGTCACAATTCTCACGGAGATGGGTCGCATATTTGAAGGCCTGAACAACTTGTCGATGTCCATGAAATATTACAAAATGATTGCGCAGGAGGACGCCTCTCACACCGAGGCGATAGCTAGTATAGGCATGCATCACTTTTACAACGATCAGCCGGAGTTGGCGTTACGTTATTACAGGTGTGTATATTGAATCTACACTTTGCCAGAAAAGATGTCGCACTTTTGCACAGTTTTTAACTATAAGTTTGAAAATTTGTAGACATTTAAATATTCTTTCTATTTTTACTTGAAGTTAAATTACTTGAAGTTTAAAATGTTTACTTGGTTAAGTTTAAAATTTTCTTCAACTAATCCTCAGGCGTCTACTGCAAATGGGTGTACATAATACCGAATTGTTCAATAATCTCGGGCTCTGTTGTTTCTACGCCCAGCAATACGATCATACTATATCATGTTTCGAGAGAGCACTAAGTCTCGGTACCGATGAAAACATAGCCGATATATGGTACAACATTTCCCACATTGCTATCGTACGTATAAACACGCGCACGTGTAATTCTGATTTTATCTTATATATATTGATTACATTATAATTATAGACTTTAGGTGATCTGATAATGGCCGAGGAATGCTTAAGATTGGCTATCGCGGCCGATAATAGGCATGCTTTAGCTTACAATAATCTCGGTGTGTTAGAAATACGAAACGGCAATGTTACGGCAGCGAGAACTTACTTCCATGCGGCGGCTAACATCGGCAGTTACTTATACGAAGCGCACTTCAACAGCGCTCACTTGGCTTATGAGGTTATTTATTTTTTCCGCTTAATTATGCATGTATTGACTGATATTGGAAATTTGTTTCATGTACTTGTACAGGTTGGAGATCTGCAGACAAGTTACAACGCGATACAAAAGTCGTTGAGTTCCTACCCCGGACATCACGATAGCAAGACTCTCTTGCGAAAACTACAACGATACTTCTCGCACATATGAGACAAACAATGAGAGAAGTGTTTCTTAATCTACATTATCCTGTTATATTGTATTATTTTGTTTAATGTATAATATTTAAATGTAATTCTATATACATAATGTACATGTACAAAGCGGCAGAAATCAATTTCTACATTGTTTATAAATGTCTGAAATTGAAAAATAGCAATCAAAATCCGAATCTGATATGAAAGAATCGTTAAAATTTACGTAAAAGTATAAGAATCAATACTTAAATGCAATAACTTAGAGAATTAATGATAAAATTGTCCGTTATTATATCTAGCACTGTCTTTTCTTATCAAGTTTGTATAAATATATATATATCAATTGATGGCTTTTCTCATTCAATGAGAAGATACGATATTTTTGTACCATCAATAAATTTAGCTCGATCGTGTAGTGTCAGAAGTTTCTATGATTATATTTAATTACAGATCTTGTAATTGACATTATCCAATGATATTCTAAAAAGATAATACTTGGCGACTATAGTTACGTGTATTACTCACAAAAAAACACGATATTGGAATATATGTCCAAATATGAAATTTGGGAAATGTCTATGAAATACTTGCATAGCCCAATTTGCTTAGTTTTGTCCTCTGGAAGCCCAGAGCTGTGTACAGTCTTCTGACAGAAAAAGTATTGTAACGCACCTTATACAGTATGGGATATAACTAGCCACGATATTATAAGATAAAATAGAAAAATTGGATATACTGCTAAAGCTTTCCTTCCTACAGGTTGACTGTCACCAAGGAATGCCATTGATGCTAAAACATCAATAAGAATTTGATAAAAACTTTTTGTTACGTAAACTTTACAAAAGTAAATATAGTTACTACTACCACTTACCATATGTTGCCCACAAAAATCCAATTACAGTGATCACAAACCTCAGAATAAATAGGAGTGTGGTTTGTTGTACTATCAGTATAACTGTGCATATAATTAGAGCAATGGCAGTCGGTAATAGGCAATATCCTAAGACACAAACACTTTGGAAGAAAGATCTGTAAATTTATATCATTGCATTTCATTGATTCAGTAATCAATATAACCATTGCTATAACTTACAACTTATAATAGATCAACTCACATATTTCCACCCAATAGTTTTGAATTCAATGTAACAACCATAGAACCAATCCACACAATAACAAATACTTCTGCAAATTCAGGCCCTCCATCGTTTGAATTGTCGGCTGTGACAGAGGAACCTTGTAATATCCTAAATAAATTATAAATTTTAATCAGTCTTATATAAAAGTTTTTATATTTTATTAACACATGCATATACAATTATAGCTTACATTGCCATGAATGTGCATAATACTAATGGTCCCCATAGATCCCCTGAAATATGACATCACACAATACGATGATTAAACTATATTTATATAATTTATGAAGATTCATCTTTTATAAACTTACATTCCTTCAGCAGACTTTTCTTTTCTTTAGGATATAAAACATGGAAAAATTTCTTGCCCACTGCACGAACGTCCCTCAACTGTATCAGATATAAATCATAATGGTCTTTACTACTTGAGATAAATCTCAGAGTTGGAACAGAAGGAAATAACAACACTTGCTTACAATCGTATCTCTGATGGGCTCGTCTAGCGTATTAAATTCTGGTTCTCCTAAGTTTGATCTCTGTTTAGAATCTACTGTCATCTCACCCTCAACATGCTGAGGATCAACAGTGTAAGCAGCATCATCGTACATCTGTTGAATACGATACAAACTTCAAGTGTTTACACCAAAACATATACACGTGACAGCTTGTACTTTTAGTATTCATCGTGACGACGAAATTTCCAGACGTATGTCGGGAAACCACAACGTCCGATCGAGATAGCAACAGATGATACTTGCGTCCAGCTTCGCCTCGGCCATTGCCGCCATGTTTACTGCCGACGCTGATCAGGAGATTACTGCGAGAAACTACTGCGGCGAGATCGTGCTGTCGACGGTTTCGTGGATAACACGTCTCGGCTACATCGGGAGAAATTCTTCACGTGTATCGACACGTTCGCCCGCACGTTTACACGCGTGTCGCACACACCGTGTATAACGTACTCGCGTTCTCTCGCTCCGACTCGTTCTTACGGCTCAGTGTTACTGCAGCTGGCATCAAAGCGCGATGACGCCACATTTATCCGATAATCTGCGACTTGACTCAAATCTACAATCAGCGCGCTCGTAACTGAGATGAGTCGCCGGTGACTCGATGATTTCGACGGGCTAGAAGTGACATTCGACGAAGAACCCTTCGTGTCGACAGATGGCCCCCCTGTCACAGCGAGACGTCAGCAACAGTGATTGTGTTCGAACAACACGAACATCGAACGGTGACATTAATTTCTCTCGATGCGATACGATGAAGCAAAACGAAGATCGACAACGTTGTCGCGTACCTCGTTGGTGGAGTTCTCTCGCGATGTACCGTCCACGAAGACACCGGTTGCCACGCGTTTTCCTTCACATCGTCGTGGCCCTGTTGTTGTTGTTGTTGACAGTCAGTGCGCACACGCAGCGGGAAATCGACGGACCAATGGAGAACGAGCCGCGAAAGAGCGTGGAATCCAAATCGAAACTCGACGAGGAACTATGTATCTGTTGAATTTTATTTTTCCTCTAATTATTTTTCCTAGTTTCTTTCCTACATTCGATTAACTCTGCTATTTGTAGCCGTGCTCTCTGCATCTCGACGGAAATAAATAATAAAAAGGATAACGGTTCTTTCCGTATCGTTAGAGCACATTTATCACATTTTAAAAAGACATGAAAGTACGGCTAAGAACAGAGATTGTTTTGTTGTAATTTCATTTGTCTCACATTTGTATACATCTTAACTACTTTACAGTTAAAAGACTATTCGCCCAACGGCGCAAGGATCACATACAAGCTGTGCACGCTCTTCTAAAGATGGACAACTACGAGCGTCTATACAAGATGATTGCGATGTTGGCCGAGAAAGTGGTAGAGGTAATCGAATCCAGCAAGAGCGTCATCGAGAAGGCTGCTTTCGTGCCGAACAACAGTTCTTTCCCGGAAGACACTAACGTTAAAGAAGGTATGATGATCTAATCGCTTCTCGCGCAAAAGTTCTCGATCCAAACAGCATAAACTGCTAAAAGATATCTTAAAGAAGTCCAATAGATATCCTATTTCTTTTAGAAATCGTCTTTTGGATGTCTTTAAGACGTGTTTTAGTAATTCATGCACTCTCTAGGAATGCTTCTGTACTCTAATTTTAATCAGTTCTCTTCTTTATTGATACCTGAAATTATCAATCAATTGAAAATTATGACGACAGTTTCGTCGTATGTGACAAACTAAAGAGCACTTTCTTCTTTACTTATTGATTTCTGTACATGTCGCAGCATTGTCCAATATTCTGGAGAACACCGCGCTCTTCGGAGATATCATCCTGCACCTACCGGATATCTCTCACAGAATACTGAAGGCGCAGCAGAGCTTAAACTCTACGATACATTGGTCCCTGAATTTCGCCAATCGGACTCGCTACTTGCTAGACAAATCGACCATCACGATGATCCACTTGGTTGAACAGGAGCTGAATATCACGGAACGGGATCCAAACTATTTTAATCGGTACAGGTCTGCCGCTCACGTTGACGAGCGCGAGGATGACTCGAAGGCGACGACGGCGACGAAGAAAAAGAAGAAGCAGTCCGCGAAGAGGGACAAGCGCAAAAAGGGCCCACAGATCGCTAAAATCGAGTTGTGAGCGACAAGTCGCCCTCGACGAGAAATTCCTCCGACCGGTTCCTGAATCGCCTCGTTAAGAAGTGAGCTCTTAGAATCCTAAGGCAACCAACGGCCTATTGATGGCTCTCGTCGCTATGAAGATTCCACGTTTCGCTTTGTACTCTTTGGAGTTAGAGTAACAGCAACGGGCTTCCGAACGACGACGTATCTCGATGATTTCTATTGAAAACTTTCTATTAAGTTTCTTAGAATTATTTAACATCGTGCGTAGAAAAGAGACAACTTCGTTAATGTAACTGAATTTTTATTACTTGGGGACCAAACGAAAACTCGGTTGTAGGGACAGAAAGATACTTCCTGTAGGAAATTTCTACTTAGCCAATTGCTAATTCCAGTTATCTCAATCGAGTTTTAATGCAATTGAATATTCAGACGAATATTTTCGTCTGCACGCAGTAACAGAGATATTATTTCTCGTCAGCAAGTTTTTCGTCTAGTCTCCATTCAATTACACGAACTGAAATCGTTTTTTCCATGTGCGCATTTAGCACGATAAGCATTTGCAATTACATTATGCTATACCATTATGTCATTAAGTAATGAAAATCGCTATACATATCGCAGCTCGAAGAGGCCTCTTAAAATCGCGTAAGCATAATAAAAACATCGTACCGTCCACATTTCTTTGACTCGCGTGCAATACGATGTTCTCCAACCTGCTACCTGCTTCCAAGGTCAGGCATTTGCATCCTCGTGCAAATTTGCAAACTCACAATTCATTCGCGACGTCGCCTCGTAATTGTGGGCTTTGAGAGATGGGACAAAGGTAAAGAGGGCCGCCGACGTGCCTGTTTAAAAACGAAACAAGGGCCGGAGGCCGGATACCTCGCCGTGAATCTCACGCCGACGACGCGTCGTGTTCAACGCGAGAGACGGTATCTCTCGTCGGTTCACTCCCGGCGGGCCGTCACGCCGGTAGAAAGTGGTCAGCCAATGAGCTGAGGAACGGCGGTTCCTCGGCCCTGCCAGTTCCCGCGGAGTGCCGCGCCGGCGGCCGGCCCTCACCGCGCGGGTACCCCCGGCAGTGTCGCGACGGTGGATCAGCCCGGTGGTGGTCGGTCGACCGATAATACGTCTCCGTGGTCGCGGTCGCGCGAGCTGAAGCGAGAAACCTAACCGAGGAAAGCACGCGGAAGCATCGGCATCCGGGACGGGACGCGCCGACCAGTCATCTAAGAGCATCTCAGCACTGGTGCGGTACACATACACATCGACAGCAAGCGACACGCGGAACGATGAAGCTCCAGGAAGCGGCGCTTCTCTGCGCCGTCTTGACCGTCGTCGCAGGTAGGCGCGCCTTCACGCAAACACGAAATATTTCCTATGTCGATCGGTTCACCTTTCTCTCCTTGCTGGCTATCGGGTTCCAGAGGTCGAGCAATGTGCGTGTTCGCGTGGGAGAGCCGGAAAAACGAGGGAGAAATCGCTGGAATTCCCGTGGGAATTCCATCGCGTTTCCGTCCGTCCCGTTGTAGTTTTGTCTATTCGCTGTGTTAAGAGACGTCCACCTTGGAGATGGCGAAACTTCAAGATTGAATTCTCGATCCGATCTCAATTAGCCGAAGATCCCTCGCGCGCGATCGTTGATGCCGAACGACGATTTTCATTCCAATATCGTTCGCTTTAATAATGATAGCTTTCCAAAAATTATTAAATTCCCAGACGATCGTCCGCACCACCATTGAATTCCTAATACCGCGCATTAATTCGGGATGAGTTGGTTTCTGCTGTCTTATTGTTCGATACTATGCCTGACCAATCCTGTAACAGACTCACGTTAATTTTTTCTCTTTTCCTCTGCCTCGATGGTATTTTAGAGGTGTTCTCCGGCTACGTTCTCTCTCATTTGCTCCTTTTTCTTCGCTCTTCTTCGTGGTCGATATATTTATCGATAAGAGATTGGTGAAGAAACCGTGTATAATAATCTGCAACAAATCGCGCACTAAATATCTCTCGTTCACATATTGCATTCTGCATTTGTATTCTAACGTGAAGGGAAACTCGTGAATTACAAGAGATATTGGTTTAATTGAAGAATTTAAGTTTGGCAGTGACTTGTAATTTAACACTCTATTGCCATAACTGGAATTATTAGAGTAACTTAAGTTACTGGAATAACTTAAAATGATTAGAGTATTGAGAGCTTGATTCGTATTAAAAAGAGAAAGTAAGAAAGAAGAGAAAAATGCAGAAAATCCGAGGAAAATCCGAGGAGACAACACTGACGCGCTGACGAATTCGGCACGCCGCGGTTTCACTCGCGTTTACATAAGATTTGTTTCACGCGCATATGGTATACAGTCACACACACACATGCAGCTGCATGTGTGCATACGCGCGTCCAAACGATAGCGAGGAAATGTTACACCTGAGAAAGAAAGGGAGAGAAGGAAAGAGAACAGAACTCACGAGCGCACGTCATTGCCAACGTTACGGTGGTGTGTACCTTCACTTTCCACTTCGCGCGCTAAACGGATCTCTTTGACATCCGCGAGCGCGAGCACTTCTCTCGACAAATTATGGTCGTAATTCATTTCGCGCCACAAAGAATTTTCCCTGCAAGAACAAGTGAAATTTTAGAAGAGAACTGATGAAAAAGGTAAAACCAAGTTATTCATAAAAAAAAAATTATTTTCAAGATTCAGAGACACAAACTGTTCATTAATTTCAATATATTCGGAAAAAGAACTAAGCTATATCTTTTAACTTTTTAATTTTATACTAATTCATATGTATTTTTACGGAATTACATGTTTCATTTGTATCTCTGTCAACGATACCAAGCTAAATTAAAAAGAAGAGAAAGGAATTCGAGAACTTCGTCGACGTCTTTCGAGGTCTTCTTGACTACGTAGCTTCGTGATACGATTTTTTGCTTCATAATACCGCCCTTTTAACACATGCATATATTCGTCTCCATTTTGGGAAGTCCGGCGAAAGTGATGGTCTCGCCGATTGTACGGTATTTTATAGCACTGCGGTGCACCTTAATCGTCGGGCGATCGAGCGTCCTCGACATGTAACTCCCGGCCGTCAATTCTCCAGCGCTGAGATAGAGATCATGATAACTCGTCTGCGGCTTATCCATCGAAATGGAAATGTAATTATTTCACCTTGTCGTTCCTATGGGTCTTAGTTAAAACGGAATTGTCGATTAGCGTCAAGTCACGGCGAGTGACATTTAATATAATAAAGCAGAGATGACAAATCTCATGACAGATAGAATCAGAGCTGACAGGGGACGCGTAACGTTATCTAATCTTAATTTAATTATCACACGAGTGCGTAAAAGCGACGCGGTACGAAAAAATGTAGCGCTACACGTAATGATTATAAGGTCACCGGGAAGACTCCCGGCAGGTGCTACTTTCTCTCTCGTGAGCGTTCGCGCACCGTTCTTTTCTTTCTTTTTCCTTTAATACGCACCTTCGGATCTCTACATTGATCGCGCGCGCAATTTCTCTCGCTGATACTCTCATTGTTCGCATGCACGCATGCATCGAAATTCGAGAGAAAGAGAGAAGAATGCGACGCGAGATACTTTTGAAGGACCTTGAATGTACCCGTGGTGGATACGACGTGTTTTACCTCTCCAGCGGCTCCCGCTCATTGCCGAGAATGTGCATAAGCCTCATGAATATCGGTGTAATGCTTCTTGTGCAATTCCCGCTCGTACTACGCACAGCTGCCGCCGGCTCTTCCGGCGCTTAGAAATTCTTCGCACGTTCCGTGTCGAGGTACACCTCCACTCGAACGAACAACTGAAAGGAGAGGTCATGACATGCAAATCGGCGAGAAGGTGCGTTCGAGCATCGCAGAGAAATTGGACCGTTGGGTTTCGTTCGAGTAACGGTATGCGTCGACCGCATCCTACAACTGTCCGCGGATTCGATTCTAATCAAAGCATCGCGAGCTCGTTATTGAATCTACACACCGTAAAAATGCGCATTGACTTTCGACGGATTGTAATATTGCTTTCTAAGCGCACGATGTCTTTCCAGATCATCTACTTGGAGGAGCGATGAAAAACGCGGGACGGACAGCTTTGAAAAGCTATTATACTAAGAAACTCATCTAAAATTCCGTTAAAAAACACCAAGTACCTCCGCGTCGTCTTTTCACGTGTTCCTGATGCATTTATGCAGCCGAAAAAGAGCGTAAACACTCGACTCGCACGCGTTTTAATGCGCCCAAACATATTGGAATGCCCACGTTTCTCGCTTTCTCGAGCCTCTCTTCTGGAATTTCTCCCGTCCGGGAGTATTTTCTACACGTGTCCCGGGCTGTCTGCATACACACGCACGCGGCCGATGTCTTCTTCATTCTTATCCAGTCGGCATAATTTGACGTTGAATATTAATCGAAGTGGAGAAACCGAAATCCTGTGGCCTTGGTGGAAGGACGCTTGACATCGAAAGTATCCTACGCCATATGCCTGCATATAGTTGCTATTATTAGAAAGATTATCAATGTTATTAAGTCATAAATTTTCGTTATACGACCTCACAGTTCTTCCGCCCTCGTTAAAGTCACTGCCGCGTCGGGCGTAATCGCTGTGCTCGCGCGCGGAACGTAACAACGAGTTGACAGAGAGAACGCGGTAAAAGTAGAACGTAGGCACTTGATAGTCGGTCATCCGGACCACAAGAGCGCAATAAATACATTCTCGGGCGCGTTTCGAGTAAGATCCCCAACCTTGACATTTTCCCGGCACGATAGCTTTCGAGTTCTTCATTCGATCCCACGACGGACGAGCGCGCAAAGCCGTGATCTTTTCTCTGGAAGAAAAGAAGAAGAAAAAACGAGAAAGATTATCTTCATGGCCGAGCAAAAGCGCGCGATGAAATTTGATTTTGAGTGCGCGAGATATCAGCCTGTTACGAAACCAATACCTCATGCACTTTCACGAGCACGGAAAAAGGAGAAGAAAATCCTCTCTCACGCGGCGTGTTTGAGCGCTTGCGAAGCGTGCCGCGAGGCCGTTCTGGCACGTGTCTGTCGTGTATTTGTCGTAAAAATTATTGTATCGTGCCTCGCCTGTCCGTCTTCTCTTTTACTTAATCCTTCTCTCTCTCTTCGTTTCAGTTCACTGCCAGAAGAACAAAAAAGATGAAGACAAGAAGGACGAGGAGTTCAGGTGTCCGGAAGGCCAGGGTAACGGTAACTTCGCCGATCCGGCTACCTGCAGAAGGTTTTACCAAGTAATTACGATTCACTCTGATACTTTCTTTTATTATCAAGAAGATATCTTTCCCTTACTTCCGTCATTATCCACCGCGTTCTAATTGTCTACGGTTTGTTTTTCATTGGAAGTGCGTCGATGGATATCCCTACTTGAACCGATGCCCGTCGGGTTTGCACTTCGACGACATCAGCAAGTTCTGCACCTTCAAGAACGAGGCGCGATGCGGACCCATCGAGGCCAGTAAGATCACTCTACGTATCTCTATGTCGCACCAAGATCATAGATTTGGCAAATTAAATGATTCGAGATCGAAAAGCGAGAATTACAGACCTTTGCGAGGCAATTCAGCCAATGATATGCTTGTTGGCTTATCGAGCGCGCGCCCAATCTTTGTTCTATTCGCCAAAGTGTATAATTTTTGGTGAGAGTCGTGAGCGCAGTCTTCGCAGCCGTCGGGGGCGTCTTTTAATTTCCAGCCCCGGCGCCGATTACTGAGCCGCCGACGGACCTGGCTGAGCGATGCGACACGGCCAACTGTCAGCTTCCGTATTGCTTCTGCTCCCGCGACGGCACGATCATTCCCGGCGGTCTTCAGCCAGACGAGGTAAATACCATAAACTCGTAACTCGCCAGCCAGCAAATTTGTCACAAAAAAGCAAAATGTAGAGACGCAGTTATTGCATAATCGATCGTCGAACAATTCCAGACGCCACAGATGATCATAATGACGTTCGATGGGGCGATCAATCATAACAACTTCGATCATTACCAGAAGATCTTCACCCAAGACCGCCTGAACCCTAACAACTGTCCGTTGAGGGGCACGTTCTTCATCTCCCATGAGTACTGCAACTACAACATGGTCCAAAGTCTGGCGCACGACGGCCACGAGGTTGCCACGGAAACGATCTCGTGAGTAGTTGGGTTATAACGAGTTAGGGCTCACGATACGCGACTCGCCGATTCTCGATACTCACGAAAGACGAAAGAAATCGACGAGTCGTGGCGCATTGTGACCTTCGTCGGAATTGGAATAGCGTTTCGCTGACGACGGCGATGAAACGTTTAGGCTGCAGAAAGGCTTGGAGGATAAGGGCTACGAGGAGTGGGTCGGTGAGATGATCGGCATGCGAGAAATATTGAAGCACTTCAGCAATATCTCTACTAGCGAGGTGGTCGGCATGCGAGCGCCCTATTTGAAGCCCGGTCGCAACACTCAGTACAAGGTGCTCGAGGACTTCGGTTATATATACGACAGTAGCATAGGGATCTCGCCGCTGAAGGTGCCGATCTGGCCATACACCCTCGACTACAAGATCCCGCACGAGTGTAAAGCGGGCACTTGTCCCACTAAGTCGTTCCAGGGTAATGAAATCGACGATGCGGGTTTAATTTTCTTTGTGATTCAATCGAAAATTTCGACAAGAACAGAACTATAGAATATTAGAAATATATTTGTCGTATACACACACACACACACACACATTATATATATATATATATATATATATATATATATACCCAAATAGCACACGATATTCTATGGATATCCTATGGACGTCCTTAGAACAGGATATCCCTGGAAGATTTGTGCTATTGGGATATATATATATATATATATATATATATATATATATATATATATATATATATATATATATATATATATATATATATATATGTGTGTG